GCCCGCCCGCCCGCCCGCCCGCCCGACCGCCAGCCCGCACGCGACTGAAGATTATGGCCGAAAGCCGAGGTGAATGCTCGGGACCAGAAGCTGGGAATGACGCCCGTATTCAGTGCTTCCGAGACGGGACACGGCGATATTGTGATGTCGCTTATCGACCAGGGAGCCGACATTCACCTTGCTCGCGAGTACGGATCCGCTTCTTCCGGTTCAGTTTTGACTGTCTGCGCTCACTTACACGACACACGACACACGACACACGACACACGACACACGACACACGACACACGACACACGACACACGACACACGACACACGACACACGACACACGACACACGACACGCACACGACGCACACGCACACGCACTCGCATACGCTTAGGGACGGTGTGACGCCGCTGTGGGTGGCCTGCTTCAAGAACCACCCCGAAGTGGTGCGACATCTGCTGGATAAGGGTGCGATCCATGGGAAAGGTTGTGTTCCACGTTTGGCTTGCGCTCACCGTCTTGTCGTGCGTGCCGCGTGTGCCGCATGCTATGCATGCAGGAGCGCAAGTGGAGGTCTGCGAAACGAACACGCTGCTCACACCGCTCTGTGTGGCCGCCAAGGCTGGGAGCTGGGAGATATGCTCCATGCTCATCGACGCCGGTGCTAAGTACGCGCCACCAACACTGCAGCTTTTTTTTTTCCCCACTAAGACTCATCGTCACACACGTTTCAGGGTCAACTACACCACCAAGTCGGGCCTGTCGCCGCTCTTCATCACCTGCGCGCAGGGCCACTACGACGTGTGCGCGCTTCTGCTCAAGAACGGTAAATGCCAAGCTGTGCGTGTGCGTGTGCGTGTGGGCGTGCGCGTGTGTGTGCGTGTGCTCATTTGCGTGACGTACGCGACAGGCGCCCAAGCCAATCCCAAGGCCAAAGGCGCGGCCACGCCCCTGTGGATCGCGGCGTCGAAGGGCCACCACTCCATCGTCTACCTCCTCACCCAGCACAAGGCCAAGGTAACGTTTTACTCTCTCACGCCACGCCGAGTCTCGCA